AAATTTTAAATTATATAATTTAAAATAAAAGTCAAATTGAATATGAAGTTCTGTAATAAGTTTTAAAAGAAAATTAACTCTGTAGAAAGAAAATACTACATGTAATAGTGGTATTACAGAAAGTTCTGTTATATAAAAGTATTACACAAATAAGTTTCTTTAAAGACAAGAGTAATATCAATATCTTTATATCCAACTTGCAGAGTACTTAAATAAAAGAATAATACTAATATAATATATAATAAGTGAAACAGTGCATGCAAAAAAAATTTATGATAAAAGATTGGTTTAACAAAATAAGAAAATTTTTAACAAATATTATAATTCTTAAAAAACAAAATAATAATTATATATTACAATATTATTAATAGTTATTATACTTATATATAATAAGTCAAGGTTTTAAACCTTTTTGTAATATTAAATTAAAAGTACAATAATATAACAATAATAAAAATATACAAAAAAAAGTATATAGTAACTGCAGATGATAATCTGAAATTTTGATAAATCCAACTATATCAATCAATACCAATATATAAAAAATTGTATATACCAAATTGGTAGCAAGAAGAGCATGAAACTGCCAAAGTTAACCAATTTAGAAGAAGTAAAAGAATACTGCAAGAAGTAGATAAAAGAATTATAGTTAGGTAAAATTAGAAAATATAGTATAACAAGATGACTACAACTTTATCTTAATTAGTAATGATGATTGAAATACCATAATACTAGTCTTAATATAGAAAAATGTAATATTAAATGTCTATATAATAATATAATAACACAAATAAAATGAAAAGTATATAATACATAAAGATTTAATAAAAAATAAAACAAATCATATAGTTTGTTATATTTTTTAATTTATTACCAATCAAAATACAAGAATTCAAAAAAACATAAATTTCAATGTTTTTGTTCTGCAACGTAAAAGTTTAAAACTATATTATGCATTATTTTTTAAAATTAACATACTAAAAATCAAATTTAGTATAAGAAACTTTACTCTAAATCAATTGATTAGTAATTAATTTTATTAGCCGGGTCTCTTATATTAAATTTGATCCCAAAGGATAAAAGTTATAAACATTAAAGTCTTTAGCATTTAGGCATAAGTTAACATAAATTGAAGAATCATGCATAAGTAAAATTTACAAAGACTAGTAATAATAATATCCCGACTTATTGGATATAATTAATATTGTCATTTGTCATTTATAATATTTTTAATGACTTGTCATCTTGCCAATGATTGTATAATTTTTTTTTATAAGAAATGACATTGTCAATTTAAAATAACATGTCATTTATGCTCATTTTCACAAAATTTTCATGACTATATCAATTGTCATCACTGCTTTGTCTAACCGCGTCGCTATAAATGTGATAGAAAAAGTTTCGTTATAACATCAATAACGCCAAATATAGAGTATTTGAAATAGCGTTTAGATAGTAGCATAGATAAAACATATTGAGCAAAAAATATTTAAATTACCAAACAAAATTCATCTATATACAAACCTCAACAACCGAAGTACCATCGCGAAATCTTGTGCGAAACAAAACATTCGCATTATTAAACATTCCATCTTTAAGTGAAACAACTATAAATTGTGATCCTTTAAATCGAGTTCGAAGTAATTGCCCAATATTTTGAGTATGAGAAAGATCTAATGCCGCATCCACCTCGTCCAAAATATACATTGGCGCAGGTTTGAACTGCAGCAATGATAAAATTAGTGATAGTGCAATAAGTGACCTAAAATAAACAATAAGGATTATTGAATTCAGTTGACGTGAGACCAATTAAAATATCCCAAATACCAAACAAATTTTTAAAAAATGGTTGTCGAGATCTTTTACTTTAAAATTACTAAAAAACGATGTCCAATTTCTTTAGATTCCATATAAAAAATTCTGTTCACCTTTGACCGCCACTTAATTCCGATAAACTTTGTTTCCATACTCCGCCGAGTTGTACTTTAACTTCTAAACCGTGAGTCAAATCTTGACCTTCGAGAGGTTCGAGTTTTGCAAAACTATTCGGTAATAAATCTGCAAAAATTGCTCCAAAATCTCTTTAAAGCACAATAATAAAATTGCATAAAGCCGTTAATGCATTAAATCTACATATTTATGGCATGCCATTAATACTTACCCATTTACCTTTTCCCAAGTCCTTTGCAATGCATCTTTTTTATAATCATCCAGGGATACTATCGTGTCTTCAATTTTTTTCTTATCTTTCAATACAGTTGCCAGCATTTGATTTAAAGAAGCCTCCTTCTTCTCAACACTTAAAATTTTGCGTCAATAAGATTTTTTAGATTATCAAAATAAAGTAGAAAATAGTAATAATTACCTATCGATCATATTCATGACTTTAGCATTTATCTTTTTACGCATATTGTTGTGTTTCTCTTCTAATTGTCGTAACATCTTTTTACATTCACTTGGGTTATTATTAACAAAGTCATATGCTGTGTTTGGTTTACCAAAATGGCTGATATAATTTGATATTAAAAGATATATAAACATATAAATAAAAAAGGAAAAAATTAAGCATATACATTAGAAACACAACTGTTTTTGCTGTATGATCCAATCATAATTCTGTTCCATCTGGAGAACTGCCTGTTGCGCCGTTTGTTTTTCTTTAAGAAACCTTTCTAATTCATGGTTAATCCTAGATATTTCCAATTGCACTTCAGTCGTTTGGGCTGTTTTCGTTTTTATAGCAGTTTGAAGTTCTTTGATCTCCTCATCAAAGGCAGACAATATATTCCGCTCATTGTCCAGTTCAGATTGTGCATTATCTAAAGAACTCTGAAAGAATATAATTTTAAGACACGAACAAAATAAGCCAGACAAAGATGGTCTTGAAGATTATTAGAACATAAACCTTTAGATTTGACAATTCTGTTTCCATTGATGCTACCATATCCATTAATTGTTTAATATTTTTATCCGAATTTTCGATATCTCCATTAGAAATTTGCAAATCTTCCTCAAGTTGCTCTATGAAACAAAGCGTAATTAAAAACCAATTATTTGCATGACTTTAACAAGTAAATAAGAATTCATATAACACATACTAATTTCTAAGTGCAATATTTGAACATCGCGATTCATGTTTATGACTACTTGATTGCTCTGTGACAATTCTGCTTTTCCTTGAACTACTGATGTCTGCATCATCAATACAAACTTAGTTTTGGAAAGAGAATAAACAAATAGAATTGAAATAATATTATTTACTTGAATTTCTTTTAATTTTGAATCTCGATTGCTTTTGAACTCTTTCATTTCGTTTTCAAGCTTTTGACACAATATCTGACATGTTTTATATCTTTCTTTAGATGTCACAATTACATTCTCCTGTTCAGCAATTTGAGACATAATATTCTCAACAACATGAATAATCTATAATAATATAACATATAATTTTAGTTTTTGAGAATAAGTTTAAAAACATGTTGATGCTTTACCTGTGAACTACTGCTCTTATTAACTTGTTCTTCTAACAATGCGATTTCATGAGTTTTTAGATCCAGTTGTTGTCTTACTTGGTTGTATTTGTGCATAATCTTTTGCGCATCCTTAATCTCTAGGTTTATTTTATCAAGTGCTTGTTGATGGAATCTTAACTTATCTTTGAGCTCCTTTGAAGCTTGCATTTTGTTGAGGATTCCTTCTGATGAAGGTTTAGATCCACCTTGAAGCGTGCCACTAGGATCATAAACATCACCTTCTAATGTGACAGATTTGGCATGAACGCTCTTGTGAAAAGTGACTAATTTAGCTGAATCTGCATCAGCACAAATTAAGGTGCCGCCAAATACATATTCCATTGCTGGTTTAACTTCCCTTTCATATCCAATTAATGTTAGTGCTAAATTCACTTTTCCTGGGCTAAGTCTTTGCGCAGAAGCGATCCTCTAAATTTAATAAACTATATTAAGTTCTGAAAATCAAATTATATCTCAGACATTATGCTTCTAACCTCAGCGGATAGCTTAAATGCTTGAATTTTATTCAATGGAATTATCGTTACTTTTTTTCGTAGTTTTCCTTTTTCAAGGAGTAATGATCCTATCTTTTCGTTATCTACTACGACCTAACAATAAAAGTTTATAAGTATTTATTCAACTTTAACAAATGCTTATTATAAAATTTAGATTTACATTGTATAGTCTTCCTCCAGCACAAATCTCCAAGGCGGTAGAACAATTTGCATACTTAGGGTCCAAGCTAATCAACTCCGCGACTAGACCTTTAACTGTATTTCGATCAAAATCTGGCATCGGATTAGAATATCTGAATTCTAAATTCGACAGTTGTGAAGATAGAGATTCACATTTCTAATATAAAATATATCGAACTTTTTTAATAAAGACACAATTACAAATTTATGCATAAATTCTTTAATTATGTAATACTTCAGTAAGGTCTTGAATAGCTTTCTCTTCGATTAGCTTTTTTTTTAACAGATCCTCCATCCTACTTTGGTCCCAATCAACCTTTGACAAATTGGCCTGAAAAGAAAAATCACTAGAATCATCTAAATTTATAAAATAAATAAACAAATTTCCAATATTTTCATACATTTAAGTCTTGTGCTGTTTTTTTGGCAGACTCTAAGGAACTAAGTAGTTCTCTGCCATCTTTTTGCGCCTTTTGAGCTTGTGGCTCTTTTTCTTTTAACTCTTTCTCAAGATGAGATATTTTTAATTTTGCTTGCTCTAATTCAGTCTTCGCTTGAGTAGCATTATTTTTTGCCTCTAAAAATCACAGACGATTAATACTTGTAGTAAAATTTTCTCGTCTATACAACGCATATATTTCTTATGTGGTTTACCCTGAAGCTGTTCCATATATCCATTCTCGTGTCCCTCTTGTGCTGAAACCCCTGTAGACAATGTTTGCAAGAGTTCTTCTGCTTTTCGAACATTTTCACTTTTCTCGTCGTGAGTTTTTTTTATCTGATCAAATTGTGCCTGTAATCTTTCATAATTCTTCTTTTTCTGTGATAAATTTTGCACTATCTACAAATAATAACATTAAGTCCTTAATCTTATATTAAGTTTTTACTTATTAAATTATTACCTCAGCTTTTACTGACAACAGTGTGTCCTTGTTCTTTCTTTCTTCAGTAATAGACGTTTTATTAAGTTCGCATTTTGTGTTAATTCTAACTATTTGATTGGAACATTCAGTTATGTTATTTTCTAACATTTGGATCTTGTCACCAGTTCCAATCTCCTGTAATATTTTTGATGTTATATTCATAAGTTATGCATTATACATTATGGGAAATTAAGCTACTTGCCTTTTCTTTATTTAATGTCGTTTGTCTGATGTCTTCTTCTAGATATGCGATTTCGTCTTTTAATCTTTCGTTAAATTCCAGTAATTCTTGAACTTTAACTTTTTTTGCTTCGAAATCGGCACCTGATTTATCGAGGTTTTCCTATACAATAATTCAGGAATAACAAATATAAAATTAACATACTTACGAGGTGCCCTCAATGAAATAACGATGAATTAAACTAACCTGATATTTTGTATATTCGTATGCGACAACCAATCGCGTTAGTCGTTCAATATCAGATTCCGTTTTCTGAAATTCTAAATATGATCTTTTCTCTGTTCTCAATTTATCTAACTTTGGTCCAATTTCTTCTTTGAGCAACTATAAGATTAATTAAATATTCGTAATTAATTTGGTACATAATGAGGCCATAAACCTTATATGCTACAAACACTTGCCTCAGTAATTTCTTCAAGCTTTTTTTCTTTCTTTGCAATTGTCTTCAACGCTTTTTCTTTTCTCTCTTCAAACATACGCGTCCCCGCAGCTTCTTCGATCATTGCTAGAATTTCTGGGGGCTTCATATTAAGAACTTTTGTTATCTTCCCTTGCATGATCAAAAAATGGGGATTGTTAATATTAAGTTGAACTGATTGGAATAAGTTTTGAACCACATTTTGTTGGGCTCGATGACCATTAACGATGTATTTGCTTTGACCACCCAAAATGATCTATACCGAAATTTAGAACAATTAGTATTTTATTACTCTTCCACCTATATATTAATTATCAAGAATTCACCTGTCTTGTTATACTGATACGCTTATATTGCTCGAAACCCACAGGGCTATTTTCTCTATCTTCGTTATTAAAGACAATAGTAACTGAAGCCTTATTAACACCGGTTTGACCACGTTTATAGATCAAATCTTGCATATTGCTTGCCCGAACCTACGTTTTTACTCAATTGATAAGAGAACGAGCGTTGATTGTTACAAATGTGTTTTCCCACCTACCTGGCTTAAGTTTGTAATACCCAATACGAAACAGATTGCGTCCAAAATGTTCGACTTTCCAGAACCGTTAAGACCAGTAATCGCGTTAAATTCTGGATCCCATCCTGAAATAATAGTACGGACGGCGTAAGATTTAAACCCATCTATAATAAGTTCTTCTATCCTCATTGTGTGCAAAAAAAATAAAAAACGCGAGAATAATGAAATATTGATTCTTATCCGGATGACGTATCGCGAGCATGATGTAGATCAAAATTTCGAGAGTTGTGTAACTCGAGCGATCAGATGATTCGGATTCGGGGGACGTTTACAGCTGTTCTCATAAATTCTGGAAAAATTTGATCTGCCGAATTCGATAAGTTTTTGGTTTCGATGTTATCGGAATTGGATTTTCGGCATTACAGTAATTCGATAACACCGAATTCAAAAAACTTATCGAATTCGGCCGATTAATTTTTATCAATTGTCCCAAAATTTATGAGAACAGCTATAAAGCCTGGCACCTTCCGGTTTTCCGATTTTTAATTAATATTAAGGATTAGGGCTATACATAGGCTATAAGGTTAATAGATATACAGTAAAATCGTATTTCCGACACTTTTACTTAGTGCATCAAGACCAATTTAGATAGCCATTTTTTATATTTTCGTGTTTTTGGCTTTGTCGGGTTGTTCGGAATAATGCGGGAAATTTGTCGGGAAAGTTCGTAAGGTGCCAGGCTTTAAACGACCCCCGGATTCGGACATCGGATCGAAGCACTAATATACAAGCGCCAACTCATACAGGGGGATCCCAAATTCCAGGTCGGAATACATCGGAATCATGCTCGGCGGGGCCGGAATTAACCAATTTTGCCCAAAGTTTTACTAATGAAACCATAGCTCACTCATTAAGTAAAGCTGCCCAGCTGATAATTTTGGTCCAGAAATGGTTAATTTGTATTACTAAATGCTAACTAAATGCCAACTAAATGCCAGGCTAAATCCGGTGGTTTCGACCCGAAATTTTGGGGATCCTCCTGTATGAGTTTACAAGCGCTACCTAAATGTTGCGCAAACAAATCAGATTTCAAGATCAGGTGGAACGTTACACGATCGGGAAAATTCAAAACAAACGTTTCACTTTGTTAAAAATTACATAGGAAACCACCTTTAGTGCACTAGCAAAAAAAAATTCCTCAAGCAATTTTACTATTAAACCTTTTTTAACCTTAACATTAGCATAGACCCTAACCCTAACCTAAACGAACTTTAAAGAATTTTGGTTTTCACGTAACTGCAACATTTTGGTAGCAATACTAGGAAAGATAGCATATAGGATAACTTTATTGTGGTTGGTCGATTATATAAAATCAAATAACACGATATTATTGGCTATGTGTATAACATGTGACAATCAACCAATCAAATTACATAATTATATTATAATTCGTCACTATCACTTTTCAAAAAAAGTATATATGGGTCAGTCCGTATTTTAGACCGAATTAGGAAGAATAATCTGTATAAGATTATCATAATCTGATTGGCTTACACATATCTTCTACTTATGCATTCTTTGTAATTTTGTTTAGTACCAAAATTTTTTAAATATATAGTATATGATTGTGAGGTTAGTTAATTTCAAATAATTTCACATGATTCATTTTTCTTACAAAAATAAATAAAACTTAAAAAAACTAGTAAATTTTTATCAGATTTTTTTTTTTTTTTTGTTAAGGTAATTTTTTTAATCTTTTAATTTTTATTAATGACTTTTTTGTTAATATGATTTTATAAACTACTATAAAAAAAGTATATAATTGATTATATGTGTAATTTTTCTATATACTTATTTAAGAAGTTTATCTAAAGGTTTCTTACTAATTATTATATCTAACAGTTTTTATTTAAATGTTTTATTTTAAACTCTCTGAATTTGCTTTTGTGTTAACATTACTAGATTATATTTAGAACATTATCTTAATTTTAGGATTAGAAATAAATCTTTTAGGACTTTTTGTATTTATTTTTACACTTGATCTGATATTATTATAATAAAGCTAATATTTGTAGTTAGAGTTTTATCTTTAACTATTATGCTTTTATAAAGTTTATTTGAACTCAGTATCTATATTACCAAATTTTTAAACTGTAATAATTTTAAAAAAATTAGATTTAATATGAAATATTATGAAAGAATTTAAAAAACTGTATAAATCTTTAAATTTTATTAACAAACATCACAATATTATAATAATAAAAA